GCTTGGAAAAAAGGTCCATGTGCATTTCTGGACTAAAACAAGCAGAGGTCAGCATGAATAGATAACCTGCTGTTGCCCAACTGTCCTGCCCTAGCAGGGCCCCGATGACTGTACTAAAGGATCTCTGTTATATTTGGTGAATGTTGCATCATTTTAAGTTGCCAACATGAATACTGTTTCTTTTATTTATTTGTAATTTCCACCCCCCAAATTTTATTCTGTTTAAGCTCTGTTTTGCTCAAATGAAAAAAAGAAAATCAGATCTATTTACATAAAGTTTCATTAAGTTTATACTTTATGTTTACTCAGACTATGATTTCAGTTTCAAAAGTGTTAGCTTAATTACCCAGCCCTGTAAATATGCTAAGAAATGTGGGAAGAATATTACTTGCAGTCTGAGGAATTGAGGCCAAACTTCATAATCTACACATCCTGTTATGGATGAAAGATGCTTCAGTGTTTTGACTAATAATAAATCCAGTTAACTCTGAGTAAAATTAATTCAGTTTGGGAGAAATGTAAAGTTAACTTTATGAAACTGGTAATTGTGTCAGCCGTTGTCTTCCTTCTTCTTTTTTCCGTGTCATGCTATCAGTAATTCCTTTCTGCCTCTTACTAAATTCCATTTGTTGTGCTGTCTTATGCATACAGTGGTCTTTATAATGGAGCCTTGAGGTATTGTATCATTTATAAACCAGTCAACACAGACACAGGACATGTGTACATGATATCTGCTCTTGGTAGTAGGGAAGTCTATGAGGCATCTTCTAAATAGAGAGGAACTGGTGTATTATACAATTACCTAATACAAATTAACCTGCAGCCACTTCTACAGTTTCTGCTGTAGTGTTACTGCAGGAGTGTTTCTAGTAACTACACATGCTCTAAATATATTGCTTGGTGAGGCAGAGCACTATATTTCTAACTGTGGGAATGATGCTCTTCTTTTACACGAGTTCTTCATAGTTTTGAATGTGTTCTACTCCTGAGAACTTAAGTAATTTACTGCTGAAAATTGCTGTCATTCTTATGAAGGAAATACACGTATTCTTTCATTCTCATTTTAATCTGTTCTAACAATTTTAATAATTCTAATTTTAAACTATTCTTACCCTTTTCCCTCTTCCTTTTCTGGTAACATCCCTTTTACTGGACTAATGCTGTGCAGTTCAGGGCTTCAGAATATCTTCATGATCTTGTAGAGATGAGAAATAATATAGGCTCAAACAGGACATAAGGAGTATGGAAGAAAAGGAACAAAACTAGTTCCCAATGGTGTTTGGGGGGGATTTTCTTTTTCCCTCTGTCCACCTCCTCCTTTGAAATATACAGTGTTAATGTTGAGCAAGCAGAGTTTGAATAGGTCATTCAGTCTCTTGCTTCATCAGTAGGTGTAACGGTTGTATCCTGTACTCTCACTGCCAGTAAGCCCCAGGAGAGACTGGGAGAAATGGAGTTTTTTAAACAGAGCAGCTTTTCTGCTCTGCTTTAGAAAACTATTTTTAAGGAAAGTTGTTTTTAACAGACGGTCTATTGTATGAAAATAGTTGCTTAATAAGCATTTACAGTGAGCTCTAGGTACACATGGTTCTTAGTAAATCTACCGAAATAATCGCTACCTTGAAAACTCTGCAGTGGAACACAGTATGTATCACTGCAGTTCGTATTGGTCTAATGCTAATTGCGTGCCTGAGTCTCTCATAAACTACTACTCTTGCCCTACTAAGACTATTTTTAATGACATCCTGTGCAGCCAACCTGGGTATGTGACCCTCTTTGATTGTCTAGGCACCTCCACGTACATATCTTCAAGCTTTGTAGAAACAGATTTTGTTTAGTTAGCTTGTTAAAAAATCATCACTTAAACCATGCCTTCACTTGGGAATCTAGTTGTGTGTTTAAGTCATCCCTAGATATAGATGGCATGTCTAAAATAAGTTTGTGTTTCTTAGTCTAGTAGCCTCTTGGCTAGCATGTTTTGACAACTCTGGGATAGAGGAAATAGTCTTGCTTTATTGTGGCAGCGTTTTCTAAAGGCTTCTCCATAGATCAATAGAATCAATAAATGTGGGGTGTTGGGGTTTTTTTATTGACGTTAGAGGTGGCTTGGAATTAGGCAATGCAGTAGACTTGACTGGGTTGGAGGGAAGAAAGCTTTTGCTGCTGCTCCATGTGTTTGTATTGGCACTGCTGTCTGGAGTTCTGACAAGCTGTGGGAAGACATTGCTTGTGTCCTTGTGCTAACAGAAGCTGTATCATTTTCTGCACAGGAACTAGTCTGCTTCTACTGAGAAAAACTTGACTGACATTAGCATAGGATGCATATAGTTGCAGGCAGGCAAGTATTTTCTTCATTTTAATACGTAGTTTTCAGTACAAGCAAACTTAAAACATCCATCCACTATAGAAAGGTAGTTGCTCACAGCATGAGCTTCATCCTGCTTTTGTTACGGCCAGAAGCTCTGGAAGAAATTCCTCAAGGCCTTGCTTGTTATTCCAGTTCTGTTGCCTGGTAGGAATGCTGAAAGACTTCTCTTGAGTATGCAGCATGCATAGTGCCTAAGTTGAAGATGTTTCTGACTGAATAGGTGGGAAGTATGCTGATACATTCTGACCTTGAGAGTAGCAGGTAGCTCTGTACTGAAAGCACCAGGTGAGGGCTCAGTGTTGTGCTGTGGTAACCAGCCGCTGCTCAAAACCTACTCTCTTCTGTAACTGTGGAAGGGAATTGAGCTGTGCTCCTCAGTCCTATGACTGGAAGAGGAAAGCGGCAGTAGGTTTGTAGAAGCTGGCTGTGTCTGGTCAGGGCTTGGCAAGGTGTTCATGGCAACAGACTTCAATGAGGCAACAATTTCTGTTTCAGTCAGACCACCAAGTGAGCACTTCAGATGTGGAGATTTCCAAACGAGTTTGATGCAGTCGGTTGCAGAGGCATGCCTGCAATTTGGTTTTGTCCTCTCATTTATTCTTTTCTTCCAGCATTATCTACTAAAATACTGTTGCAGCTATTTTTATATGGCTTTAGAAAACCTTTATATAATAAAATTGTGAGGAACTTAAGCCTTGGTTAGATTTATTTATTTAATCTGTGGAGTATCTCTGAGAGTGAAATGGTTGTTGGTCTAGTATGGGATGTTATTCTTAAATATTTTTCCAATACATTGGTGGGTCCTTTAATATGTGGTGTTCTCGATAGCTCTGTGGATCATAATGTGGTGTTAAAGATGGGGAAACTAATAAAATCAAGAGGACTGAATTAAAATTTTGCTGAATTGAATTTCTGAATAGACATATTGCTGATAAACCAACTTGGATGCTGAAATGAATTAAACAGTGATCCAAGAAATGGTGCTGTATTAAGATTTACAGTGTCAGTCTGTTTGGCATGGGAAACCTTGGTTATTTCTTATGGACAGTATCCATTCTGTTCACTCTTCTTCACCAGTTGAAGCATGAGGGGATGATGATATTGTCCTTGCACTGTCACAGAGCTGCAAAGTTACTTCTGGTTCTGAAATCCCAGGCACTGGGGCTATGGGCTCAGCTCGGTACCTTGCTGCTGGCTTGTGCAATACTGGCAAGTGAAAATTGTCTCACCTTTAAACTACTGGCCACAGTTGTTTGCATGATGGACTTGATTAGGAAGTGGTGGACTTCTGCACAGCCTTGGTTTGTTGTGGATCTGTGACTCTTCACATTTTCTGTTGTCCGTTTTGTTAACTGTAGGGTGGATAATGTTGCTTCAGGTCTTGTTACATCATTTATTGCTAATGGATGTCAGATGGACTTTCATTTATGACAGAATATGGCAGATAGAATAGCAAATCCCAGTCCTAGATGTAGCTTGCCACTCACAGCTTGTAGTTATACAGGTTTCCTCCGCATTTTCCTTACATTTTGTCTATGAAATAGGGGTAGTGATGTTACAAAACAGGCATACTCTGCAAGGATTAATTCTTGTAACATCCATTGAACAGTAGGACTGTGCAAAAACTTGTAATATGTTTGTTGCAGTCCCTGTTCATTAGCATGGTTTGTGTATTGATGCTTCTGAGCAGAAGAAATTGTTGAGGTTCACAGAGAACACCAAAATCATCTGAACTGTGAACATCTAATCCCAACCAATGGTGCCTTTCCAGAGTTGTGGAAAACAAGTATTGAGTGAATGATCTGTTTCTGATAATTTCACGATTCAAAGAAGTTCTGTAGGCGTGATACTGAGCGGGCACATAACGTAGGGTGAGGTGAAGAGGATTCCATGTGGTGTTACAAATGATTGTAGCTGTGCAGCCTTACTGTGTGTGCTGTTTTGGCTGGGTTTTTGTCAGCGTTCACAGTAAGTGCTTATGCTGTGTGTGGTATAGTGCAGCTCTGGGCTGTATTATGCATCATGGTGATACGATAGAAATCCTGACAAAACCATGCTAGGATCTTTGGGATTTGCTGCTGTAGACAGGAGTAACAAGAAACCTTTATGGTTTTTTCCTGTATTTAATTTTATGAAAAGCTCCCTAAAAGTGTATTTAAAACCAAAAGAAGTCTCTGCTGGCAAAATGACAGCGTATGTGTAAGGTTTCTTATCTCTTGTAAGTTGATGTCATATTGTGAGGGTTAACAAAAGCAGATTAACTAGCATTGTGGTTTACAGGAAGGTTAGATATATTGAACTAATGGTTTATGCGGTGGCTTAGACTTCTGCAGACCTGAGCACTCTGATGTAGACTTACTGTTGAATAAAAATTGCATACTACATCTGTGTGTTCTAAAGGTATCTTTTGTTAAGAATGTTTGGAAAAATGAGCTTTTCCATGTAAAAATTGAGATACACCTTCCAGTAACTTTTTATAATCTCTGAAGCTGAAGATGTTACAGCAAAAGAATAGCAAATACTGAAGTGTAAGACTTCTGGTATAAGACAGCTTTATTTGTGTTGTGGATAAGGATAACATGTTGGGTATTCAATGCTTTGAATTTTTTTTTTCTTTCTTCCAGATGAAATAAAAACTGAGCTGGAAAAGCAAAGGTAAATATTAATTGCTGAAAACTGTGTGAAGACAGCAAGTGGAATAATTTGATTGTGGAAATTTAAGAGTGCATATACATTACAGGAGTGAGTTTGTGAATACTCAGTTACACACTTATCTGACAAAAACATATGGCCCATGTGTTCCAATTACACAATGTTTGCGGCTATGGGTCCTCAAGCCATAACTGCCTCTGAATTTCACTATGGGAAAAATTGCAAAACTTCTAAAAGCTGCTAGTTTTTCCACTTCCTTTTACTGGGCTTAATATAGCCTGATAGGAAATCACAAAGAGCAGTAGGTGTCCCCTGTTCAATAGTATATCCTCTTGAGTACCTAGATCTAGAATACATTTTTAAAACACTCTTCCAGCACTCTATGATTTTAAAATGAGCCCTCAAATGTGTCTCTGCTGGCTTAGTATCCCTTATGTAAGCCCTGTTTAATTAATTCAGGATAACTTTGATAGATTTATCATTTGAGTTGTAGAGTTCCCCAGTATTTCAGGTAGTGGGACAGTGTTGGAGTGTAGCAAGGAAAGAGTTGAAGAACACATGAAAAAGAGGAGATGCAATAGAAATAAATGTAAAGTGGTTTTTGTGTGGCTTTTTTAAGAAAGTTGGGAAATCCTTTGAGAAAGTATGTGTGAGAGAAACCTGCATTGCATTTGTCTCCTGCCATGTGCCATTCAGCTTCAAATTTGGAAAAGAAGGAAGCGTGGTTTGCTGTGATACACGTGTTTAGAAAAATTAATAACTCTTCTTATCTGACCTAGAGAAGGCACTGCTGCTCCACCAAAAGCAAACTTCATTGAAGCAGATAAATATTTCCTTCCCTTTGAACTAGCCTGCCAGTCAAAGTCTCCACGCATTGTCAGCACTTCACTGGATTGTTTACAGGTAAGTGTTCTGTTTAAACTTGGCAGAGTGAAAAGGAGAAACGTGCAATTACAAACAGCCTGTGTGCATTCTTGGAGTGAAGCAGTAACGCTGTCCAGAGTGCACACAGCTGTGCAGATGCCCACTGTGGCTATCTAGATGCCTAAACCACACAAAATAGGTTACCATCAGACTTGGCTGAAAGTGGGTCCTCTCATAATCAGAAATGCTGACAGTGAAGTAAGCCTTTATTGAACCTCATGAATGCTTACATTATTCAGTAGAAGTATTTCATCTGTGGTGCTCTAAAAGGAGTATTTACCATGGTGTTTCTTGTAGATGGGAGGTCAGACTCTGAAATCCTTCTACCTTGTTTGTCCTTAGATTCTTAAACAACAAATGCAACTTTATCTCAGCTAACTACTTGGGCAGAAGAGTTATCTGTTACGAATAGGTGTAAAGATTGATGCATAAAAATTCTTTCTGGTTATGGCAATAAGAAATGGCATGGATGGGAAAAGCTTATGTATAAGTTCCTAAATCTGTTTGACCAGATGCATGAACAGTCCGAGTATCTGGTAGCCAGACTGTTAAGGGTATTAAATATATGTGTTAAAACTGGTTAAGTGAGGTATGCTGGCTAAAACCTCTTTTTTATGCTGTACTTAACTGTATTTGTGATTGTCTAACCTGTATTCTTTCTGTCTAGAAACTCATTGCATATGGACATATCACTGGCAATGCTCCAGATAGCGGAGCTCCTGGAAAACGGCTGATTGACCGAATAGTTGAAACCATTTGCAATTGCTTTCAGGGTCCTCAAACAGATGAAGGAGTACAGCTGCAGATAATTAAGGTATTTTATTTGGTTTATTTTGGTACAATATTGATTTGCTTTCTCTGTCTTTGATTTTGTAATGGGAAAAATAAAATAATGGGAAGTGTTACTTAGGGCCCAGTTTCTTCATTTCTTACCTTGTTACACGTGTCATTGAATTCAGGGAGGCTGTCGCCAGGTCAGAATTGGCATGTGAAATGTATTTCCTCTTGGTGATGCAGAATAAGGGATAATTTGTCCTTCTTTCTGGGATAAGCCATGGCCTGGATACTTCTAACTTGCAGACAGCTCGATGTTCTTCATCTAGGCTAGTAATGTCCATGTTCATTAAGCCAATGAATTGCTACCAGCCTTCAACTGAAGGCACTAACTGTGATGTAGTATCATGGACTGCTGCTCCAGCCTTTCTGCTCTCCTGTCTGTTTTTCTAGAGGGATCTGCAGTGTATGTTCTCAACAAGGCATACTAGTACCTTATGAACAGATACGTGTTTCATAACAAACCCACTGATCATTATGGAAGCCCTGCATGAAGTGTATTGCTGCCTGTTTGCTTAGATTTAATTTTTACTGTGTTACGGACCTTTTCAGGCTCTCCTCACTGCAGTAACATCTCCGTACATAGAAATTCATGAAGGAACAATTCTTCAGACTGTTAGAACCTGCTACAACATCTATCTGGCCAGTAAAAATCTTATTAATCAGACAACTGCCAAAGCTACCCTTACACAGATGTTAAATGTCATTTTTACCCGGATGGAAAACCAAGCTGTAAGTAACTGTTACTTTTGCTCATCTCAAATGTTTAGGCTTGACAAATGAACAGAAAAGTTTTCTTATTTTTAATGGGTCTGCATTGTACTTGGATATCTATTGATTTGTAATTTCAAAAACCTCTGTTAAATCCTGCAATGAATCATACTGACTGATTAAACCATGAAGCTTAGTGCTATAACAAGGTTTCACACTGTAGTTTCTGCCAGTGGCTTTGTATAAACAAATGATGGGATGTTTTTAGAATAAGCTTCTTGAAGTGCATCTTCTTAATTTGACTGGCCAAGTGATTACATATTCACTGTTTCTTTCTTGTTAACATGTGAATTCCCAAAGGAACATCAGTCATCACAGACATCTGTTTTCCCTTACCATGTTTTGTACCTTAGATTAACTTCTTCATGTTGTTTTTTCAAGATACAAGAATCCAGAGAAGTAGAAAAAACGAATCAGCAGAAATCCCAGTCTCCTGCAATTCAAGCAGTGTCCAAGTCTCCAAAGATGGGTCAGTTAAAGCACAGCTATCAGGAAGGCAAACCCACTGTTCCTGTAAGTGTGGAACTAACAAATGGTGAGCCTGAGAGGGTGGAAAATGGAGATGTGAAGCTGGAGCAGGATCTGACTCTTTCATCATCAGGTGAGTAATGGGGTGTGTCTCCTATTTTCAGTTACAATCCTTCTATTGGAAAATGCTCTTTTAGGCTACCTTGGGAAGAAGTGACTGGGGTGATTGGCTCAAATCATGCTTGGCTTTCTTAGTAGTTATTGAGAATATACAGGCCATTCCTTAGCTCGTGTCTCTATTATAGCTGTTGAAGAAAGGCTCATGTTATCCCTAGAGTTCTAGTAAAACTATATATGGTTTATCTACTTAGAGTTATAATGGAATTAGACTTGATTAGGTTGATAGAGGGAAGAAAAGGAAGAAAATAATAGCAGTTCATGGGGAGTGACAGAATCACTTTGAGGTAATTGAAGTCCTATGGTAAAAATAATATGTATCATGAAGACCTTATCATAAGCATATACTGTTTCCAAATTGGGAATGTAGGATATTCCAAAACCAGAAGTTTGTAACACTTGATAAATACAAATGACAAAATCACAGCATTAAAAATATCAGTGCTTTAATTTAAATAATGGAAATAACATCAATGAGTATATTTGTATGATTCTTGGAAGTGGCTTTAGAGGACTTCTAAAGAAAATCTATCATTTTTAACCTTTCTGCCTCTGTCATGTTTCTCCTTTTAATCTTCTTCCTTAAAAAAAAAAAAAAAAAGTACTAAATTCAAAATTATCTCTGTGTGTTTCATTAGAGGACACAACTGATGGAGGAAAGGAAATGGTTAAAGGCATCTTGGAAGATGTGGTCAAGTCAGCTGTGAAAGGTAACAAAATCTCCTAAAATAGAACAGATGCTTGTGTATTGACAACCTTTTATTCCTGTGAATATAAAAGCATAGATGTTATTTTTTGGTAGTAAGTATTTTGTCAAGAACACCTAAGCAGGAAGAATATGTTTTTGTTTCAATATTATTCTTTTGCTGGTAGCTAATAAACTTTCTACTTACCAGTGCTGCTTCTGTCCCACTTGATTGTAGAGCTTCACAAAGTCATGGGGTAAAATAAGCTCAGCTGGTGATTTTAATCAGTTTTCCTTTTTCCCCTTTAGTGGCTGAAGAAAAGCAGGTAACAGAAACAGTGAAGGCTCTACCTGCATTAGAGACTGCAGATATTCTTTCTGGCTCTAGTAATGAAAATGTACAAACAAATGGGATTCCAGATGATGGGCGGTCTGTTTCCTCCACTGATAATCTGGTAAGTAACTTCACTGGATGCTAACGTATATTTAGGAAAGAAGAAATGTGTTTATCAAGCCAGCCAATACAGTGGGATATCAGAGAGGGAAGGAACAGAAGCTGTAATGTATGTGTCCCACTCGGGTTCGAAAACTGAAGCAGCAACTGCAATTTAAGTAGATAATGAAAACAACTATTCTAGAATTGGTTATGTTGGTTGTATTTTGTTACAGGGTTGGTGGCAGAGGGGAGGAGTCAGTTAACACGTGTGAAAAGATCTGGATAGCTTGTAGACCTGTGTAGGTTTAGTTTAAACTTTGCCAAGTGTATCTTTTTTTAAATCTGTAGATAATCCTCAAAGGAGTTGTGGAATCTTCCTAATTGCTTCCTTCTTTTGTCTGACTGAGGATCTAATTTGTGTGTTTCTTGCTCTCAAGGAAACAGATGTATCTGGACATCAAGCTGCTGCCAGGTTTTCCCATGTACTACAAAAGGATGCCTTCCTTGTGTTCAGATCGTTGTGCAAACTGTCCATGAAACCACTTGGTGATGGACCACCAGATCCCAAGTAATGAGACACTATTTATTACATTGTCCTCTACAGGTAGCTTTTGGAGATAGTTAAGTAGCTGTTGTAGAGTAAAGCAGGTATTCAAAATTCACCTGTCAGGCCCTGTTTTAGTTACCTTGATAAATCTAGGATTGAAATTTGCTTCAAATTATTAAAAAATTAAATACTTGAGGGTTTCTTTGTGTAATGGGTTTATTAATCTTATCAGTTGAAGTGGCCTTGACTGTAGTATTTGTGATGCTTTTGATGGGGGAGTTGAGGGAATGCTTCTCGGTAGCATTGGGTTTTATTATCCTACTCTAAGATGTTTATTATCCTAGTCTAAGATGTTAATACTCCTGGAAAATTTCCCAATTAAGATGGTGGACATTGTCCAAAATCACTTGCAGGCTAATTTCCCCCCCTCCTGCCCCCTCCCCACTGAAATGAATTAAAATAGCACTCATTTCTTGTTGACAGGGAACAAGTGCTATAGCGCTCATGTTAAATACAGGTATGTATTCAGAAACACAATAAAAATATATTTAATGTTGAATTTTTTTCTAGATCCCATGAACTGCGTTCTAAGATAGTGTCTCTGCAGCTTCTTCTCTCAGTGCTGCAGAATGCTGGTCCAGTTTTCAGGACACATGAAATGTTCATCAATGCAATCAAGCAGTATCTTTGTGTAGCATTATCTAAAAATGGAGTCTCGTCTGTTCCTGATGTATTTGAGCTCTCTCTTGCCATCTTTCTCACGCTGCTTTCAAATTTTAAGACCCATTTAAAAATGCAGATTGAGGTGAGAGACTTTTTATCTATAATTTGTATGATGCTCTAGTTCTCAAATAAAACTACTACAATGATAAAAAGATAACTGGAACTTACAAGTTAATGTCTTAGTTTTGTTTGCTTACTAAACTAGTATGTTACTATTATATTCAAATTCTAATATGCATGGGATGGTACTCTTCAAGAGAAATTAGTGAATAGAAATGGATTTGTACACTGATATGGTTCTAATAAGCTTCAGATCACTAAGTCCTTTACTTCATTTATTTTGCAGGTATTCTTCAAAGAGATCTTCCTGAATATTTTAGAGACTTCTTCAAGCTCCTTTGAACACAAATGGATGGTGATTCAGACTTTAACTAGGATTTGTGCAGGTATTGCCATTGTTGTGGAAAGCAGTCACTTCCTCTGGCAGCAGATGAAACTTATTGCGTAGACAAATGCCATAGATAATGTTTAAGTGTGAAAAACTGAATCCCATAGCATTTGGATTTAAATATCTGGATTTGTCCCCACTGCCTGCTCCAACTGGCTGAATCCTTTTAAAAATGCAGTTACACTGAATCCTAATACTCACACTTCCTTTTGTTTTCCAGATGCTCAGTGTGTAGTGGATATTTATGTTAACTATGACTGTGATTTAAACGCTGCTAATATATTTGAGCGCCTTGTAAATGATTTGTCCAAAATTGCACAGGGACGAAGTGGGCATGAGTTGGGAATGACACCTTTACAGGTAAGAAAAACAGCTTTGAAGAAAAAGTACTGTATTTTCCATAAATGGTGCTGTCTCTGCATCATCTTTGATACTTCCAGTGGTTTCCAGTCTGTAACCTACTGATGTTACTTACTTTTTATTACTTGGTTAGTTTGCAGTTGGATGCTGAAGCAGTAGGATTAATTTCCTTGGTGATTTTGATGCTTGTGAGACTAGGCTTGTTCTGGGCTATTTTGTTGGGCTGCTGTGGGAGAGAGAATCAGATGAGCCTTCCTCTGCCTTACTGAAATGGCTTTTCTTCTGCACCTTTTATTTCAGTACCTTCAACTTGTATTTGCTTTGTACAAACTTTCTGTGCCATATCTCCACAAGTATTTTGTTTTTGAATTCAACTTTCCCAGTCCTTAGAGGGAGGGTGGAGTACAGACTGCTTTCAGCAAGAACAGAGTATTCTGATGTTGGCCTTGTCCTGCAGCACTATGTCTCTAGCCTAATGGCTTTCAGGGCTGAAGTGAACTTTGTGCTAGGGTTGGTCTCAGAACTGAGGGCACCTCACACCTTTGACTGGAATTGTTTCAATGTTCTACTGTGGTTCTTTGATCTGAAAATGGGAGTAAAACCCAGGACACCTTTGTTCAGATTTTGAATAGAACTGTTTACTGTGCAGTCAAGGTAGTAAGACTCTTTATTTTTCTTGTGGAGGGATCTGACACTATAGAGACACACTGGATCATCATAATCATTCCTACGACAAAAGGGCTGCATTTAGGATTTGGTGTTTGCCCCTTGGTTGTACTCATCAGTTATCAATAGACCATCTGCTTAAAGCAGCTGGAATGTGTTCTGGTGTCAGTATGGTTATGGTTGCTTTTGGCCCAGATGTATCCAACCTAAATGGTCAAGGGGCAGAAACTTCATATGACCAATAGATTTCTCTCCAAGTGACAAACTTCCTAAGATTTGAATGGTGTCATGTTATGTTTTCTAAAAGCTTGTTGGTATACCTATATGGGGGAGGGGAGTCGGGTTGTCTTTTGGTGGTTCTTTGGCATTTTTTTAATTGTTGTTGTTGTTGTTGTTGTCTTTTTCTTTAGTCTCTAAGCCTGAGGAAAAAAGGTCTTGAATGTTTGGTTTCTATCTTAAAATGTATGGTAGAATGGAGCAAAGACCTTTATGTGAACCCCAATCATCAGGCTAGCTTGGGTAAGGTTGTTTCTTTATGGAGAGACTAATTCCCTTAATAAGTTTGCCCTTGTGTTTATTCAGTGTTTAGAAGCTGTTCAGAAGCGTGGATGCTAGGTTTTTACATAACAATTCACTTATACGGGTTAAGAGTTTTATGAACAATTGTTAATGCTGTTGCAATAACCAGCACTCCAAGTGTCTGGTTCAAATAACCAGATTCTGTTTAAGAGCTTTAGCCAGGCCATTGGCTACACTATAAAAGCTGGCTCATGCAGAACAAAACCTAACAAATCTTGCAGTTCCTAAGTTGAAATGCAAGAATTTCTCCATGGCTGCTGCTGTTCTCCTGCCTTTTATGAATTATTTTAGATTTGCATCAATATAGCACCTTCATGTAGTGTAGACTGCCAAAAAGTAGACGTGGTAAGATAAGACTATTGATTCATATGTTTCAACTAAAAAGTACTATAACTAAAAGCTTTTGACTGAACAGGATGACTGAAGTCTCACCCTCTTTATAAATAGGTTCATATAAACCATCTGAACAGGAAATGGCTGAAGGTAAAGGCCTTGAGAGTGGAGGGAGACGGAGTAGCGTCAGTTCCTTGGACTCCACTGTCTCATCAGGAGTTGGAAGTGTTGGTACTCAGACTGCTGTCCAGGATGATCCTGAGCAATTTGAAGTCATCAAGCAACAAAAGGAAATAATTGAACATGGGATAGAACTGTGAGTCTCATAACAAGAAAATAGAAGTTCACTATTCTGTACAACCATATTGTTATGTTTTTTACAGAGTCAGACCTGTAGGGACGCTTAAAAATTGATCTTAATGCTGAAGGCACTTGTCTGCTGTTGTCAAAAGCTTACACTGGAGGCTATTGTAGTTACAAAGAATTTGATAAAATCTAAAGTGGAGTAAAAGGTGGTTTCACAGCTTTCACTTGTGCTGGTTCAGCTGCACAAGAGAGGAAAGTGTGTGTATACCTAGAGAGAAATTGATAGGAGCAGGCAGCTTACAGCTCTTACATCATTTGTTGTCTTTTGTTGAAATGCTTTGGAGAATTAAGTCCTTGTCCAGCTCTGCTTTACCTCTTCCTTAATTTGAGGATTTTGTCTATAAATGCTATAAAAAGGTCTTGAAAGCAGCATTTTTAACATTTAATGGGAAGTCTCTTAAGTTTTAGTATTTTAAAAGGGTCAGGTTTTCAGTGAGTTTTCCAGCAATAACTTTTAAGCTTATCAGCAACTGAATGTACCTTATGGGATGTAGCCTATGGTGTGATATGGTTAAGACATTAGTTGAACATTCTTTGACTTTTTTCTAACTAGAAAAAGAAAAATATTCTGTGCTGTTACTCTTTGGCTTATAACGGGTCTGCAAAACTAACATTTTATAGGGTGTGATATTTTTTCAGTTGTATGTCTCAATTTCCCCATGTTTTTGTCTGAATAGGTTTAATAAAAAGCCAAAGAGAGGAATACAATACCTTCAGGAGCAGGGAATGCTTGGCACTACGGCAGAGGACATTGCACAATTTTTGCACCAAGAAGAGCGCCTCTGTTCTGTAAGACTACATTATAATTAATAAAATACTCTTGCCACATCACCATCTTCCTGTCTTCTGATGTCTGTATTCACTATCTCTTTAGTTCCTGTTTCGTTAATATGCAGCTGAAAGCATAAGGGTTCTAATGAAGGTATTTAGTAACAATGGTACTTTCTATTTACTTCCTGTCCCAGCCTTTTTAGTAAAGTAGTTGTGCTTACAATAAAGTGCTGGAGGGATTCCCCATAAATGAGAACATGCATTTTATCTATACCTGTATTAGTGCTGTTTTACCAGCAAAGGAATATCATGTACTGCAGTGGCAAAGCATTCTCTACTGCATGTGAAATTGGGTGCAATTCAGCTTTCCTTGGCTCTACAATAATAAAACATCTTGCTTTGGGAAGTGAAGGAAGCAACAATATGTAGACTAAAGGCATTTCCAGTGACACTGGTTTCTTGCCATCCCTCTAACGGTTGCTCTGCCTGCTCAGTGAAGCATATCAGTCTTACAAAACTGATAGCTATGCAATTCTTGTACTATAAGCCTTCTTGCAAAGCTGGCAGTTGGATTGCGCAGTAATAACTGTTCCTTGTGTTTTCAGACTCAAGTAGGGGAATTTCTTGGGGAAAGCAACAAGTTTAACAAGGAAGTGATGTATGCCTATGTAGACCAGCTTGATTTCTGTGGGAAAGACTTTGTCTCTGCTCTCCGTATATTTCTGGAAGGTTTTCGTCTGCCAGGTGAAGCCCAGAAGATTGATAGATTAATGGAGAAGTTTGCTGCTAGATATATTGAATGCAACCAACGGTAATTCAAAACCTTTGTACTGGATAAGTGCCTGAAGAAGGGCTGTATTGTTTGTGGCCCTTAGGGGCAAGATGCAACATGTGCTCAGGTCAGGAACTTCGACAGGCTGTTGTGAGGAGCACATTTTGTTGCTGTTATTGGTGCTGAACCTAGGCAAAATAGAAAATTTGGATAGAAAGTACACTGATGCTGACATTTCATTAAATCCCAAATACTTGCTAGAGAGTATTATTGGAAGAGGAAGCCCCAAGTATGTTAAATTGTGTCTGTATTAGCTGTTCAGTTTTTAAACAAATGTAGATCACTCAAGTATAAACAACAGTAATAAGCAGTAGCAATTGCTAAAGTTGAATATACGTGGCATAAATAGCTAATAAGATGTTACACATTTTTGCTTGCCCGTTAGATGCTAAACAAGATGTATATATGTTAGTTGACATCAAGTAGGCAGTGTTGCTACTGTTTCTAATGCAGTAAACTAGCACTGAGATTTAGCTACGTGTTCAGGTTTAGTTGGTTCTTACTCCTTAGTCCAGTTGGTGCATCACTGGGTTGGTTTTGTGTAATTCTTTATGAAACCCTGGCAGTGAAAAATAAGCTGTTCTTCAGCTTTCGTAGGATTATCTAAAGGATTTCTTTTGAGAATGCACTTGAAAATTCCAGTCGTTAGTTTTCAAAATTGTGAAGAAGATGCTTTTACATTATTTCCCTTTCTATTTGCATTTTAAAACACTTGGGGCTTCATGCGATTCTAAAGACTAATTTTAGGTTGTGTTAGCTCTTTGGTTGAATGCACAGCACTTCTGAGTACTTTTTTTGCAGGTAGAAATAGAACTAATGGATTAAGGAATTAGGGCTTTAAAAACCTGTTTTGTTTTTTCTCTCCCTTAGGCAAACACTATTTGCTAGTGCTGACACTGCTTATGTTTTGGCCTACTCTATTATAATGCTGACTACAGACTTGCACAGTCCACAGGTAGAATTTAAAAAAATCCAAACTTGGAGAAGTTTGAATTTCCCTGGAACTGAGTTCAAAATCAGATATGCAACTTCCTTTCTTTTTTTACAGGTAAAAAATAAAATGACAAAGGAGCAATACATTAAAATGAACCGAGGAATCAATGACAGTAAAGACCTGCCAGTAGAATATTTATCCACAATCTATGAAGAAATAGAAGGAAAGAAGATTGCAATGAAAGAGACAAAAGAATATGCAATTACAACCAAGAGTAGTAAACCAAGTAAGAGAGAACTAGAAACTGAAAAGGCCACAGTGCTCTTGAACCACTGCAGTAACTGTCAGGGTGGCATGATGGAGTTCAGATCCCTGTTTGTGATCATCTTTGCGATACATAAATTACGTTTAGAATGGCTAACACGGATATTGGGAATGAAGGTGGCTCAGTTATTACTTGATAGTGCTGCTTCTGTGATGGAAACAGCTGTGTAAGTGCATCTGGCACCATTGCAGAGAGGCCCTAGAAACTATATTTGGGTTTTGTTTTATTTTTAAACGGAGAGGGAAATGGTGGAATAACTGAAGGTGGCACTTTGCAAGTAAACTTGTTTTCATGTGCTAGACAACAGGTGGGGTTTTGGTTTGGGTTGTTTTTTCTGTCTCCCTGGCAGTAGTGTGTCATAGTTCATAGGCTGGCAAGTGCCACAGTCCTTGTGACAATGTTTGAAAAAGAGAGAGATCAGAGTTCATCATGTTCTAGTAACCTGTTCTCATCTAGACCAAATGAGGACTTCTCTGTTTAGTGTACACTAGAAACCAGTATCCCTAGCTGTACTCTGCTTTTACCTGGAATAGCTGGCAGAGTGACTTAATGGAGTATGCTTCTTGAATGATAGGTCTTAACATGTGGCATATAATAAAGGGCTGAATTAGTTGCTTTCTATAGAATGAAGTCTTAAGTTGGGATGTAGGTTTAGGTGCTAGACTCCTTACTTGTAATGTATGAGAGCCTCCTGAATTGTAACATTCGGGAAGATTTTTATATTCAGATTTTATTTGCAATATTTTTAACATTTTGTGATGCTCAATATAAGACATGAAATACTCTTATATAAAAAAGGAACCAATGCAACTGTGTGGTGTTCCCCTTAGGTGTAGCTAATGAGAAGCAAAGGAGGTTGTTGTACAACTTGGAAATGGAGCAAATGGCTAAAACAGCTAAAGCCCTCATGGAGGCAGTAAGCCATGCAAAGGCTCCTTTTACTAGTGCCACTCATCTGGACCACGTCAGACCCATGTTCAAAGTGAGTATGAGGTTCTCCTTGTATCATCATTGCTAAGAGTTTTAAGCATGGAAAAAAAAAATTGGAAAACTACTCTGAAGAGTTAAGTACTGCAACAGGTGGACTCTTCGGATATATTTGGTTTCAGTTACCTTGTTTTGGGCTAAAATCTTGATAGACTTCTGAACTTAGTTTCTTCCTTTCTTTAGCTTGTATGGACTCCACTGCTGGCAGCTTACAGTGTTGGCTTGCAGAACTGTGATGACACAGAAGTTGCATCCCTTTGTTTGGAAGGAATACGCTGTGCAATCAGAATAGCCTGTATCTTTGGAATGCAGGTTTGTGTAAGATTTGGCATGGGGCTTGCTAAGGGCAGTGTAGCCTCTGGGAGGTAGATAAGAATTACAAGCTTATGCATAGAAAATGGAGCATCTCATCTACTTGCTTGAAATGGTAAAATAAAATATTACTACCCTGTTTCAGTTTAAGATCTTGATATACCATCAAGCTTTTCTTCATCTCTGCTTTCCTTTTATTGCTGAGTCTTCTATTAAGAGCATTTGCCTTCTCTCCTTCAGTTGGAAAGTGCTCTAATAGTGCCACATACCTAGAAAACTGTGCAGGCATGCTGGACAAGTAGCTTTCTATAGCTCTACAAGGACTGGATTATGATGCTTGTTTCTCTGTTTTGTAGCTTGAACGAGATGCTTATGTACAGGCCCTAGCTCGCTTTTCCTTGTTGACTGCCAGTTCCAGTATTACAGAAATGAAACAGAAGAACATAGATACCATTAAGACACTTATTACAGTTGCTCACACAGATGGCAACTATCTTGGAAACTCTTGGCATGAGGTAAATCTTGATTAGTTTAACTAGTGCAACTCTGTTGTCCTTTGAAAACTTGCAGGATTTTATTCTTCTACTGCTGTTTTATGTTCTGTGGCATCACTCTTTGGCTACGTGGCAATATAAGCCAAAAGGTACTCTAAGTGACAGATTTCTTGAATCTGGCTTACGCATACAATCACTAATGCTTGTTGCAGTCCAAGGGATGATGTGGGGGAGTAAGAAGGAAGTCAATTTTGTGCTGATGGCAGGGCACAATTTTGACATTTTCACTGTCTACGTTGGAACATCATTACTCTAAGTGGTAGCTGCGGTAATTCGGTCTTTTCCCCTCCCTGGGACAATGAATTCTCTCGAAGAGCGACTCCAAATTGTTTATAGCTTTGGAAGTTGATGCTGTGAGAAGTTATAAAAAGGTTTCCTCCATTAGAGATCCAAGTTAGGCTTTCTGGGTGCTGTTTATTTTTTCTTGTATTGGAATGATTCATGGCAGCTGGTGATCCTGAATGATTCACTTGACTTTATTTCCAGTTGTATTAGTAATGTTTCAGCTACATCAAAACTGTTACCATTGTCAAAGTTGTTTTAAATGTTAGAGAACCTGGGAAAGTTATAAATATTAAGTATAAATACATGTTAAGAATAAAAATATGATGGTTTCCAGAAACACAATGTTTAAATATTTTTGGTTTTAGATCTTGAAATGTATTAGCCAGCTGGAACTAGCACAACTGATAGGAACTGGAGTGAAAACTCGTTATTTATCTGGCTCTGGACGTGAAAGGGAAGGAAGCATCAAAGGCTATGCATCTGGAGGGGAAGAGTTCATGGGCCTGGGATTAGGTGAGATTAATAATCTTGGACTTCACAAAGATGCACGTATAAATCAAGTATGATGGCTAAGAGAGATAAATGTTATAGGATATTAAAATATATTTATTTCCATTTGAAAACACTCTGGAGCTGATGCTATACACAGTGATGATGCTGAGTATAACGGCTGTGCCCAGCATTAACCACTTGTGTCTGACCTAGAGATCATATTTTAAAATAACATTTTATCATTTCCAATCTAATAATAAACAACATTATATCATCTTAATAAATGTGATGGTCAAAACACAATGCCCTAAGGGGAAAAAACCCATACTACTTACCGAATGTTTGATTTTGTAATAATCTGGTAGAGATCTAGCAAAGGCACCATCTGCTCCATATAAATTACAAGCTAATTGGAAGCAGTAGTCACTAGTCTTTGCTTGTATAAAGTTGAGGTTAATATAAAGTCATGATTTCATGATGATAAATACTGGAGTTTAATGGCTTTTATTGCAGGTAACCTTGTTGGAAGTGGAGGTGATAAACGGCATATGGCGAGCATTCAAGAGTCTGTGGGAGAGACCAGTTCACAGAGTGTAGTGGTAGCAGTAGACAGGTACTGGGAATATCATCTCTTTATTGGGAGAATGTGACATGAAGTTACTGACCATCCTCACTTCATTTGCAGACTCTGAGAGGGGCTTTTGTTCTCAAAGCCTGTTTCTCTTGAGACAGGTGCTGATACTTAGATGCTTTCTCTGTAAACAATAAGTAGACTTCTTTAGGCATGTAATATTCACAAATGAAAGATTGTCATTAAATAGCAGTGCAACTAATGTAGTGTATTGTGAGAAGGAGCACTGTTTGTATGCATGTGTTTTTGGAGTAAGCTAGTGGAGACCAGAATTAGGTTGGTGTTACAGTATTTAGCTATTTTTGGTTTACAGATCTGTTTATTATCCTATTAAATTTTGGTCTTGTGAATGTCAGTATTTCAGCATTTCTTTAGTTGCTGTTCTTCAGCTCTTTATTTATTAGTCACTGCGTTCTTGTCTAAATCAGTATCTTTAACTGTCCTCCTAAAAATGTTGTCTGAAGAGATGCTTCTATGAAAAACCATGTGTTGGAAGGGGACTTTTTTTATAGTTATTGAAACTACTGGGCGAGTCTATAGAATCATACATTCAGACTTGCAGTAGTCATTGTTACATAAATATATCTGTTACCATATCAAAGTCTAAAAGATTTGGGAACATTCTTCACTTTCCAGTGGTCTATATGAACCACTATCAGTGGTCTGAACTCCCCTCAAGACTCTCGAGGAGGGAGAAGGGACAATGGTGCATCCACAGTCTGTCTGCTATTTGTTTTGACAGCCACAACTTTGGTATTCTTGAACCATGTAAAGGTCAAGCAGATGGCTGCATCCAGTGACGTCTTGCAGCAAAGCTTTCTTAATGTCTTTATTCTGCCTATGAAATCTAACATGCTGGCACCAAAATGAGTATTGCAGCACTACTTGCTCTGGATAAAATTGTGAGCCTGTGCCCGTTGCTTGCAGTGGGGCAGCGGCATAGTAGACTGTGACTTGCAGCAGGGAAGAGAATGCTTAGACTAGGAGATAGGACATGAACTGCTGCCCAGGAGTAAGAATAAAACAGTTGCCTTTTATGGCATGGAGGATTGTAAAGTACCTCCAGGAGATGTGCTGATATTTGCCTACAGTGGTAAAATGTGATTGACTCTTGTGGACGTGCAGCTAAAACTGCAACTTATTTGTTCCGTAGGATATTTACAGGATCAACACGGCTGGATGGAAATGCAATTGGTATGTATGCTGGCCATCTTGTGGGTTACAGGAACTCTTGCAATGTAACAACATCCTGAACTTACAGTAGTGTCTTCTAATGTTCAGTTGACTTTGTCCGATGGCTGTGTGCTGTTTCCATGGATGAGCTGGCTTCCCCACACCACCCACGGATGTTCAGCCTGCAGAAGATAGTGGAGATATCCTATTACAACATGAACCGCATTAGGCTGCAGTGGTCAAGGATTTGGCATGTGATTGGAGATCACTTCAATAAGGTATCTTTTTAAAATCAAGTTACAGAATGTACATGGATGGCAGGACCTATTCAATCAGATTTTACCTTTTATGTTCTAAGTGGCGTAGGTTGTGGTATTAAAAAATATCCATTAAAGGCATCTAAAGGAAGCACCTATTTGAAAATCTAAAGCATAGAAATAGAAAGGGAAATGTTTATGGGAATGATCTTTAATCACTTCGTTACATTATTTTTGTATATGTAAGTTTTCTTTATGTCAGTGTCTTTTCCTTCTGATCAAATGCCAAGTTAGTTTTCCTGTAAAATATATACAGATGATCCTGGCATTATAGTTATTTTCTGTTGGAAACTGACTGTTTTTAACTTAAGTTTATTTTTTAACCTAAGTTTATTAACTTAAGCTTTTTTAACCTAAATTTATTTTTTAGTGTCTAGCAGGCTGTTATAGTTCTGCACTTGTTGCATACAAAATCCATGGATCTGTTTAGTTGGGTCCAATGACTGAGAAAGCCCTGTATGAAAGTAACCCCCTATTTTCTATGTTTTTCTAAATTTAAATCTATTTTCAGATTTTTCTAAATCTGAAAACTAGAATGTGCTACTGATTTTTAGGAGACTGACTTGAAACTTGAATGATGAATTTGTTACTCATATAAGTAATATATTAGCTGGTGTTTGAAGGTATGTTTTCATTCTAGGTTGGATGTAACCCTAATGAAGATGTCGCCATCTTTGCAGTAGACTCATTAAGGCAGCTGTCAATGAAATTTCTTGAGAAGGGAGAGTTAGCCAACTTCCGCTTCCAGAAAGACTTCCTAAGGCCTTTTGAGCATATTATGAAGAAAAACAGGTGTGATACACTGCACTCTGTGTGTTAGCTTGCTTTAGTCCTACTTAAAGATGCTACTTGGTGTGGGTTAGATTGTCGTGGAAGTGGCACAGTTACTTTGTGCCTGTGTAAAGTTGTGCCGCTTCTGAAAAGTCTTGCTTCCCTTTTTCTTCTTAAGATCTCCAACTATTCGGGACATGGTAATACGCTGCATTGCTCAGATGGTGAACTCTCAAGCTGGTAACATTCGTTCAGGCTGGAAAAATATTTTTGCAGTCTTCCATCAAGCAGCATCAGACAATGATGGGAATATTGTGGAACTGGCCTTTCAAACTACAGCACACATAGTTAGTAAGTAATGCTTGTCAGATGTGAGTACCCATATTAGCTTAAACTGCTATGACTCTGGTTTAAAAGGCCTATCTGAATAAGACTTTGATATTTTCAGGTAAATAAACACAAGATTTTGAGGCAGACTGTTTAAACTCTGCAGCTAGGTCTTACCCTAGCAATCTCCTGATTGCTATGGACAGGAAGACTTAGATACATATATCCTGCTACAGAACTTTGGAAGTTCGGAATAGATTCAGTAAGCTTGTATGCTGCCCCATCTGTCACAATAAGTTGTTTTGGATTAAGGAATGCATTTAATGATCTTCCACACTGATTTTGTTTTCCTTTCTTGCTACAGAATATGAATAATTACAAGCTTAGATAATTTAAGGAATATTTAGGCAACTTCATTCACAGCAGGAAGCTAACATCAAGCTTTACTCCTATTACTTCTCAAAATATTTTAGGAGCTTTGGGTTGCGTATGGTGTGGGAGGAAACTGAACCATAGAAGAAGCTATGAAATAATCCTAGATTATAAAATTGCTAGTTCTCCAACCTGAGAGAATGTTATGCTGACCAGTTTGGGCAGTGGGGTGAGATGGGAAAAAGTGTAAGGGAAGGTAAACCCACATTTAATCTAGAAGATCTGGGCCTTTCATGTTTGTCCATTCGGTAGTGATACACCATGGCTGACTTATCTAGCTCAATGCCAGTTTATGTGGATGTCAGTACCCATAAATTTCTAAAAGTGTGTGTGTTTTGTTCTTCACAGCAAATATTTTCCAACAGCACTTTCCAGCAGCAATTGACTCATTTCAGGATGCAGTAAAATGTCTTTCTGAGTTTGCCTGTAACGTTGCGTTTCCGGACACCAGCATGGAAGCCATCAGACTTATTCGCTATTGTGCAAAATATGTTTCAGAAAGACCCCAGGTATTTTGTTTTAATTTTTACCCTTGTATATTCTCACATTATCTTCTACAGTTAAACTGAGACTAACCTTGTAACTAAGAAAGAGCTTTTGGACTCAAACTTCAGTCTTCCAGCAACAAGTGTGTATATTAAAAGCTTATTCAGAATTAGGAGTCAGTCTGGTATTATGTAAGCAGGAAACCAGGACTAACTAAAAAATTGAGTCTTATCAGGCCAAATTTGAAATAACTGAATGAAATAGTTGGGTGGTTGGTTGGTTTGTTCTAATAGTGTTAAGATGACCTGGAAAATAATACTTCTTGTTGTGTCATCCTAATTATGTTTAGTTAAGTTGGTTACCAACACAGATTTCTCTACATCAGTCTATTGTGTGAATATTTAATATATGCTGGAAAGAGCTTGGAATTCAATTGCAGTTGCATGTTGCCATTGCAAGACATGCATGCTGTATTCTATATGCCAGAAAAGCGATGAACTGGTTTATGCCAAGCTTAAATTTCCTTATTACCTATACTTATAGAACTGTTGCCTGTCACTGTTAAACTTGCTTGCTAAATTCCAAACCTCTGCAACTTGTAACGCCTTTAGCAGGACTTAAATAAAATGGATTTAAATACTTATTTTCCATGTATTTTTCCCCCCAGTATTTTCACAAATAGTTGTGTCTCAGATTTATACTTATGTTTTACAGGATTAAGAGTGTCATGGAGGAAACTAAGTTAACTTTTCAAGTCTCTGTGTGCCACTAGTAGTATCTAAATCTGTCAGATTTAAAGATTTTTGAGGATTTTTTTTTAATCTTATTTTCCTGCCCATCTTCAAGGTATTAAGAGAATACACAAGTGATGACATGAATGTTGCTCCTGGGGACAGAGTATGGGTCAGAGGATGGTTTCCTATTTTATTTGAACTTTCTTGTATCATCAATCGATGCAAATTAGATGTTCGAACAAGGTAATAAAGCTTTATTATTATTACTATTATTATTATTCAGCTAATGAAGAGACCACAGGTGCACAATTTAACATCTCCTCCTTTGCTTGTGTGGGTTTGTTTATAGAGGCTTAACAGTGATGTTTGAAATAATGAAGAGTTATGGCCATACCTTTGAAAAGCACTGGTGGCAAGATCTGTTCAGAATCGTGTTTCGCATTTTTGATAATATGAAGCTCCCTGAACAACAAACAGAGGTAAAAACAAAAACCCAAAAAGCAAGCAAATGTTAGAGTTGGTTTTTTGAGAACTCAAACAATCAAAGCAGCAGTTTGTATTATTTGTGTTGTCATTGTATTTCCAACTTAGTGTCCCAAAAATAATGATATTCTGTGATATGTATGAAATTGTCTTAGTATCCAGTGACCTATCTGTCTGTCTGAATATTTGCAAGGAGTATATTCACACTTTATTGTAAAAATGTATAGTTTTCTGAACAGCATTCATGTAGCCAACTAAATGCTTCTGACAAGACATCTGCAGTAGTGAAGCTTTTTAGTTTTATCTAAATTCTGCTCCTCAGAGGCCATGACCTTTGTTGAACAGGCAAGCATAAGCTAAGTGCTGTCATCATAGAAGATTCCACATAAAAACAGGACTTCTTTTTCTTCATAGAAATCTGAATGGATGACCACGACATGCAACCATGCACTTTATGCAATCTGTGATGTATTTACACAATTTTATGAAGCTTTAAATGAGATCCTTCTTCCTGACATACTTGCACAGTTACACTGGTGTGTAAAACAAGGTAGCTTATTTACTTGTGTCTTTTGATTAATGTATTTTTTTGAAATGACCATGAATTAAGAAGGGGAAAGTTAACTGAATTTTGGAAAAGTAAAAACTATTAGGACAATATGTACTAGATGAATGCACTATCCTAAATATTCTAGCATCTTCTATTTAATCATTTAGGCAGCTCTTCTGTTGATGGTGCTTCTGTTCCTAGTGCTATTGTACAAAGCAAAAGCTTCTGAAGAGTTGCATTAATCTTCTCCCAACAGCCTTTATCTATTTGGCTGCATGGATAAAATACCTCATTTACTTACACACACATATATTCACATACGCATTCAGATTTGGTTTTTTTCCTCTTTTTTTTGTTTCCCTCTTCCCCTTTCCCTTTGCTAAACCATCTAGTACTTTTAAATATGACTTCCTAAAGAATGGGCTTTCTTTTGGGCTCCAACTCTTATGCCTGACATCCTGCATATTGCCAACAGGGAACGTGGGGGGACTACCTTCAGGAAATTATGAGTTTCTAATTGGTGTTTTTCCTTAATTTGTCTCACTATATCCTTCCTTTCTGCTTCTCTTCTGTCCTTTGTCTTCTCTGTTTGGATTTCAATCTCATGAAGTCTAGTTTTAAACGCTATTTCTTATTCAGTAGGTTCCAACTTTGATACTATTTTAATACACTTTATTTGGCTTTAATACTATTAATTTCACAGTATTGGTAAAAATGTGTAATGGGACAGCAACAGAAGGTTTAATTTCACTGATACTGTAGAATGTGATAAATCTGGAATATTTCTTTCTTAGATAATGAGCAGTTGGCTCGCTCAGGTACAAACTGCCTAGAAAACCTGGTAATACTAAATGGACAGAAATTCAGCCCTGAAGTCTGGGGACAGACATGCAATTGTATGCTAGAAATCTTCAAAACTACTATTCCTCATGTGTAAGTTCATAAACTTAATTCTCATACGAATACCTGATTCCAGAGCATCAATATTTATCTATTTTTATTTTGTCTTACTTTCTGAAGCTTGCTGACTTGGAGGCCTGCAGGAATGGAGGAAGATGTAGGTGAAAAACACTTGGTAAGAGTTAATTCAGTGCAACAAACTAACTTGAAGGGTTTTGTGTTAGGTTAGTTTTCAAAATATTTTACTGTAGAAAATACACTTGACAACAAACACTGGAGTTTACATCTGTTTGTGTTTGATATAAAGAATGGCTGCAGGAAGCCTTTGAATTTAAGATGAGTGACAGCATCTGAAAACCTATAGTTGTTTGGTAGTCAGTGTTTCGGATTGCTAGAATTGTTCTGCATTCTCTTCTAGGATGTAGACCTAGATCACCAGTCCTTAAGCAGCATGGATAAAAATGCTTCAGAAAGAGGACAAAGTCAATTTTCAAATCCCACAGATGAAAGCTGGAAAGGTGGTCCTTATACAAGTAAGGAAAACATTCAAGATTATTAAATAAATTTTCATAGCTGCTCTTAGTCCATTTTTCTAGCTCTCTAGAGAAAGTTCTGGGGCACTTTAAGCTTTGGGTACAGCTGTACAACTTGTGTTTATGCCTTGCAGAGATTTCCTTTTTATAAGATAATTTACAACATTGCTGTATATCAAAATGCTAATGGTAACGTAGTGTTTTCGTAGCCTGTTTTAAGTGAATTGTCATAAGTTGCTTCTGAAAGTTGTGTTACTCCATTTCCTTAGACCAGAAACTATTTGCTGGCCTCCTTATAAAGTGTGTGGTACAGCTGGAATTGATACAGACCATTGATAACATAGTGTTCTATCCAGCAACAAGCAAGAAGGAAGATGCTGAGCACATGGCTGCAGCTCAGGTATTGTCAGACTTACTTACACCCTTGTTGTGGCAATAAAAATACAAAGACTATGGCATGCTCTGAAGTGTGTTCACAAAATAGACTATACAGTCTCTCCCTATTTCTGACTTTCAGCACTACCCAGAATGTGTGTGTCACTGCTCTTAAGCTGTGCATTCAGGGTAGTGTTTTGAGGATGGTATAGCTAAATTCCTAATTAAATTAGCTAAAAATATTGACCATTATTAATGCAATGTAACATTAGCCAAAGATGGGTATGTGCCACATTTAAACTTGCACTATTTTTGTGGTTCATCTTGATGATTTTCAGAATTTAGCAGACCTACTCAGCTCCTACAGGAGAGGAAATGTTTGATACTGTATTGCTAGGACTTTTCCATGCCTTGATAATGAAAATTCTTCCCTTGTTGTCCTTCAGGTTTTGGAGGGTTTTTTTGTCTTATCAATAACTAGGATAGATCATAACTTCTCTCCTTTAAAAGATCCTATTGAAAAGAGTGTAACTGATATTTGACAGGGCTAATTTTTTGTGTCATACTGCACTGATGTTTTGCTTATGTGTAAAATGGAATCTGGAGTTAATGGTATATGGTCTGTGAAGTATCAAAAGTCACTAAAGATTATATAAAAAGAATGCTATTGACACTCCTTTCCCTCCTTCCCTCCCTCCTCCTCACCCCTTTAGCGAGATGCATTGGATGCAGATATCCACATTGACACAGAAGACCAAGGAATGTATAAATATATGTCCTCACATCACCTCTTTAAGTTACTAGATTGTCTGCAAGAGTCTCATTCATTTTCGAAAGCCTTTAATTCAAATTATGAGCAGCGAACTGTATTATGGAGAGCAGGTGAGGCTTTTATTTTTAGTTTGATAAAAATACAGAGCTTCATTTACAGCTTTAGCTATGGAGATACAAAAGCACACCATTGCAATTAACACTGCAGTTAATCTGACAGTGTTGGATGTTTTTATTACTTGTCTATTTCCTAATAATGTTGTCCTGGGTATGTGAGTAATTCTGTTTGCTAAATTATCTGCTTTTTTTATTAAAGTAGAAATACACAGTTGGTACCACTGTAGTTAAATATCTTTATAAATAGATTAGGTCTCAATTAAAATTAAGGAGGAGGAAATACTATCTGGACAAGAAATCATTATTGTACATTAGTGGAGGTATTGTTGATAAACTTCACCTCTTGGCAAGTAACTACAAATGCGAATGTTCCCTCTCACCCTATGTGTAACTGATTTCTAGGGTTCAAGGGTAAATCAAAACCCAATCTCTTAAAACAAGAGACCAGCAGTTTGGCTTGTTGCTTGAGAATACTCTTTCGAATGTATGTGGATGAAAACCGTCGAGACTCCTGGGATGCGATACAGCAACGGCTGCTCAGGTGAGAGCATCAGCTTGGTTCTGCTGCCTTCTGATTTCAGTCACTATGGTGCATCCCTGGATACAAATGTTCTGGTTTAAGTTGCTGAGCAGAGCATGCAAGGTACATGTGAGGTATATATGTACAAAAGTGGTGGTGTACAAAGGCTTTTCACATCTGAGTACATAATGCTATTCAGAGGCATACAGAGTGCAGTATAAGCTGCTGTATACCTGGAATATGGATGAATGTAGAAAATTACACTAAATGAGTATAAAAAGGTATTGGGGTCCCCTTTATTTGAGGAGCTGCTGGTACATAAAAGTCCAGAGCATTAATCTCTATCAAATGTGAAGAACTCTTAAACTCCCTATTGGCACAAGTGCAATGGATTTCAGTAGCATTCTGATTTATCAGCATCTGTGGACATACTAATCTTTTCATGTGTAAGAGGGAAGGTTCCATTCCTCCTTCAGTTAAAGTGGAACCCCAAAAAAGCCATACTAAGTTCTACAGTTTGTACCTTGAACTGTTGACAGTCTACATCAAGGAACAAAAATTTATTAATACCATAGTAATACCTCTTTAATCTGTGATGCTGAGCTCTGCAGATCTTTAATAAGCAGTCTAGTTGTGAAGGGAGAACTCTTTTTCCCATTGCTTTTTCCTAAGCTGTGCCAGTGTAAGGATCTGGAAATAATGTTGGCAGGTTGAAGATGACAACACTTTAATTACAGAATGTTTATGAGAAAATCAGACTCCTTTCTATCTCTGACTCCCCAGTTCTTTTTTGACAACATGAAAATTTTTAGTTCCAATATCTGTGACAGAAAAATCATGGAGACAAATTTAAGTAAAGTTACTGCAAGAAATTGAAGACTTCACATGGCAATGCCTCTTGCTTGGAAACAAAATACTCTATGAGAGGACAAAAAATGTGTTGTAAAATCTTTTTATGCGTTTCCTTTATGGTTTGTTTGAACTGTGTTGTCTCTTCAGTGTATGCAGTGAAGCCCTGGCATATTTTATTACCGTGAACTCGGAAAGCCACAGAGAAGCTTGGACCAATCTCCTGCTGTTGCTTTTAACAAAAACACTAAAAATCAGTGATGAGAAGGTAAGAGCAGGCTGGAAGTCGTGTCTGCGTTCAGGTATTTTTTCATTTCTGCTTCTGTTAGATTCAGTCTTTTTTATCCTCCATAATGCAAGGTGGCCAGTTTGCTTACTCACGTAACAGCACCTCCTTGAAATACAGCAGTCGTTACATCTCTGGGTTTTTTAAGAGTTCTACATTGTAAAAATCAAGCTGCATCCATGCAATTCACAGCTGTATAGAAACATTAATGGAATTACTGTAGAACTTGCATATAAAAGCATATTGAATGTGCAATAAAGGATGGACTTGTGCTGCATTACAGTTGCACAAGAAGGGCAGAGGTAAATTTCACCACTATAAAACTCAGTTCTGGTTCCTTGACAGTGGTGGCAAAACATAGCACTCGGGATCTAAGCCCTTTTGAGGAAAAGGCAAATGCAAATATTCACTACATTAGGACGTGCAGAGAAACTTCTGGAAGTTCCTTTTTTTTTTTTTTTTTTAACTTTCCAATACTATTGAACTTCCTCTGTTTTTAAAGTGTATTTTTCCCTTTTTCCTGTATTGCAAAGTGTGTAATTTCACTTTACTCTTGTGAAGTTTAAGATGTTTTATTGCAGTTTACTGATATTTATGGTGGCTTGGCTTGTCCATGTAGCAGCAATCCGGTGATACCCCTGAGGCTACAGTGTGTTGTGAGAATAGTCTTAACTCTGTAGGTACAATGGCAACTTGGCCATTCCTTAGTACACAGTCCCAGTATCTTTCTATAAGAAAAAGCTCTGTGGTGAAAGTCTTCCATTAACTTCCCCTGTAACTAATACTGAGCATTATTAGGAAAGGACTAGAGGACGAAATATATTTTTTTTGTTGTTTAAATTCATGTCGTATAAATTCGTTTGCATCTTGAATACTGTTTGCAGTTCTGATCCCCCATATCAAAAGGAGTGTAATGGAGCTGGAAAAGGGTTGAGAGAATTTAACAGGAAAAAGGGGTATAGACTGGCTCCCATACATGGAACTGTATGTAGGTTAGACTTTGATTCAGTTATCTTCTTCCTGGAAAAGAAATAAAAATGACACCCATAAAATCACTATTAGCATGAAGAGAGGGAAAGGATTGATAATTGTTATACTGGAAGAGAGATGGTGAATTAGAGTTGTGCAGATGGCAAGTCACTGAAGGGTAAACAAACCCAAAATACGCGTAGAATAGAGATCTCTCTTCATGCACTGCTTCAGCTGTGGAAGGCTTTCTTAAGTACTATGGCTATTTTAAAGAGGCAGCTGGGACAAAATAACACCAGAAGTGGGTGTTTCTACAAGTAGTCCCTGCTACCACCTCCAGCCTGAGCAATCCCTGAGCCACAAAACAGTCTTGACTCTGTTTAGGGAAGTCTTGCCAAGTGCATGCTCAGTGGGTGGCTTCCTGTAGGCATCTGCTAAGGCTGCTGCAGAAAACAGACAGTGGGCTTGCTGGCCCTTTGGCCACCCAGGAGGGCCTTTGCCTGGGTGAGAACTTGTGCTTTAACGAGTTGCTGTAGCCATGTACGTAGAAAAAATCTGTGTTTTCCTACAGTAATTGAGCATAATGTTCTTTTTTTTTTTTTTTTTGTATCTCTAATAGTTTAAGGCACATGCTTCAATGTATTACCCATACTTGTGTGAAATCATGCAGTTTGACCTGATTCCTGAGCTTCGAGCAGTGCTGCGGAAGTTCTTCCTGCGTATAGGTGTTGTGTTCAAAATCTGCGTAACAGAGGAGCAGATACGGACAACTGGGGTGAACTTACCTTCATGGTAGCCCTAAGTTTAGGGTTGGTTACTTCAGTTTGTACATAAAGCTGTGTTCCACAGATGGATTGAAGTGGATGGGGGGAAAAATGGGACCCTGGTGCATCAACACAGCAGCAAGTTATTCTTACCACAGTTGCATTTGGGAAAGAGGAAAAATAAAATCATGTTCTGTCCATCCTACAAAATGATCAGCAGTTTTATTTAATTTATTGCTTACAGAGTTAATACAGTAGATGTAAAGTCTCTTTGTTTCAATGCTAGGCATCCTTATGATCAAGTCTGCTTCTTCTAGTCTTTTATCAATTGTTCAGTCTTGCAATCCAGCTAAATTTGATGAATCAGCTGGATTCCTCAAGAGAAATTATGCCCCTTGGAAATAATTAATATAGTTGTGTAGCCTTGTGATGTTAGCACGTGTTCATAATAAACTATACTGCAGTGGCTGATGACCACCTAAGATCACTCTGGGTTTTTCTTTGTGCGTACATGACTAGATAAGGCAGCGTGTTACGGTGTTTGAAGTGGACAGCCTGTAGGATACTTGGGGAAAGGGTTTTCCTCCTGTTTAGCTAAAGTCACTTCTTTTAATACCAGTGCTTCTGAGACTTACTTTTGGTTTTATGGAAGTTTTTACATCAGGAGCACGCAATAGCAAACAATTTAATATTGTTCAGCTTGTTAGTCTTGAGTTAAACAAAAACAACTTTTAGACTTTCCCTCTTCTTTCATGTATTGCGAGATTGTGACAGAGCATATACAGTAATATTAAAAACAAGGCTCAAAACAAACCAACCCACCTTTTTTACACTTGAGTACAGTGTATTTAGTAGTAACTGTGTCTGTTTAGCAAGTCCTGTCCTTAATATGTATGAGGTTCTGCCTCTACTGCAGATTTGCAACTTCTTTTTGTGCAAATGAGTTTTGTTCTCAACTGTTAGTTCCTATTGTGAGCTAAAAAGAAAATTGAATTCCCACAAAACAGCTAGAGCAAAACTAAACCAGTTCATCCACGTACTGTAAGAGTTACATTTCCATGTTTTGATGGTTTCTGTGAAGCAGCTTTGCTCACCCTGGAGACTTCTTTCTTTGAAATGCACTCGTTTTCTATGACAGCTGTTGCCGTGACACAATACCAGTTTACACCTGAAGCACTGCAGTACTGAGGTCTGTCCTTTAAAGTAATTTTAATACCAAGTTTTAAGACTTCTCTGGAAGAGTGGTAGGATGGGAGGAGTACTGGCTGATGTAATGTACACAAAGGTGTTAAATATTAACTGCTGTGCTATCCATAGTACAAACCTAAAATATAACTATTTAAAAACCAAACCAACCAACCTACTTGAATGGTATTAACTTCTTATTTTGCCTTTTAAGTCGAGTTTCCTGGTAGGGTGGCCTTAGTTGAGGTTGTCTTGGGCTATTCCTCTCAGAGCTGTTGGAATTTTTTTCTTTCCTTCCTTTTACTCTGTTAGCTGTTTCCAAAGGGTTCATATGGTGCTCTCCAGTAAATTGGCTTGTTCTACATAAGCACTGTTTGAGAATGGATTTGCAGTCAGTAGTAATGATAAGGCTTTCACATTTTTATTTTTTAACCAAAGAAAAATAAATGGTGGTTGTAGTTCTTTAACTTTTAAACATCCATTAGATTAAATCTATACACTAATATTTAGTAAAAGGAATATATGGCTATATTTTACAATAGGAAAAGACTGAAAAAATAAGCAATGATATTTAACTTTGCTGCTTTTGAAATGTTCTTTTGTGTTGCATTTAATTATAGTTGTTCATTCCCTGGTAATGTCACATCATCCATTACAGTAATAAAAGCAAAGTATTTATTTTAATTCTATTTAAACCTGTAAGAGTAGGCTATTCCTTTTCTTCTGGGCCTAGACAGTCCTGAAGGAAAGTCTTTGAAACTTTGTCAGCATTTGAATGTGTCACTTCCTCATTGTATACCCCTATCTCCTATCCAGACACAAACTTCTGACGTTGCATGCTTTTTGTGCGTCTTACAGTTTGGAAAGCCTTACAACTCATGCCTTGAAATAAGTCAGTTTTCAGAGCTGAGATTAGTTGCATTATGGGCTTTCTTTACTGTAATGTGCAACATATGTACTATCTCTGTGTATAGACTAAGGTTGTTTAATCAATCCTTGCCTTCAGCCTTAGTTCCAAGACTGTTCTTTTACTTCAGTAAAGATTTTGTTGTATTTATACCATTTACAAACTGCTGAAATTAGGTGTGTTACATCAACCTAGACTGTAGTGCATGAAGGAGAAGGGGGACTGGAATGCAACTGGATTATAACAGCCTTAATCCTGTCAATTGTCTGGAATTTATTACACATGCTAAAGCAATAAGAATGGTATGTTAAGTGTGATAACCCAAGATGGTTGTATTCACATTGGTTGTTTGGTTTCCCTTATGTAGTCAGAAACATAACCCATAGACACCTTAATGAAGCTAGAACTGCTGAGCCAAAACTCTCACTGTTGCTCCCAATCTTGTCCTGACTCTGCTGACATAGACTCTATCTGCCTGTAGTGGTTTAACTGGCTTTACTAGGACTGTGAATGAGAGCAGGGCTCTGTGTCAGTACAGCCAGTGGAGACCGAGGCATCAGTGCAATACATGGAGTATTAAAAAGTAACCACTTAGACTTCTGAAGTAGTGTTATGCAACAAGTGAAACTATAAACTGATTTACTTGCAGTGGTATAGATAAGGAGACTGCATGATATTTGTTATTAATCTTGTTTTGGAACCCTCTAGGACATAGTTAGGCAGGGGGAGGATGCTGAGGAAAGCTCAGAAACTCCTGTTCATGTTGACTCTCATGTCTTACAGTAGAAGAAAACAGTTACAGCGGTTTATCTGTGTCTCGTATCTCATTTTCCTGTCACCAGAACCATCTAAACCAATGTTCACTAATACAGGCAAACACCCCCCAAACTTTAGCTCAGTCTTACTATGAAGAATGAGAAAGATTAAAAGTATTAACTTTCAGTCTGAAGTAGAACTAAGCTTTTTCTGTCAGAACTGCAGCTCCCTTTCGTATGTAAATTCCATTTGTTCAGCACCTTCATTTCTGTGTAAAATGTATGTCTTCATGTATTTAAAATCTTGAAGTCTTTTGTTTTTTTTGAAGATTTCCATCTTAAGTGCATTTAATATGAGTAATTTAAGGAGCATTCCTTGCCAATGGATGTATACATTTTTGAGAAAATAACAAAATTATATAATATGAAAAACAAAAAACCTATGTAAAGTTTTCTACATGAAAATACTGTGTAAAATACTGTTATAATATTCCATGCTTTAATCAAGTGGTAAATCAATAAAGTTTTAAGAAGTGTTGCTCGTTTTTTCATGTAGTTTATTGGACGGGCAGGGAGCCTGCAGCCTGCTCTTTCACCATCGCCGGTGGTAATCATGGGCCTTTCACGTTTAGGGCTTGGTTCTGGGGTGTTTTTTAAGCACACCTCACCCACCTTCCTCCCTCCTCCTGCCCACTCCTCTCCCC